AGAGCGGTCTAGTTCGTCGCCCAGCTCATTGCCGGCTACTCATTATGCCCGGCGTCAGGTTTACACGGTTACAAAGTGATAGATGGTAGGCACTAATAGCGATTTGACTTCATTAGCTGAGATCGCCTTCAGTGCCGCTTGACTATAGCTAAGTATAGCGATAGTTGCGTTGAGGATTCCTTTCTGCACACTGAGTTATAACAAAGACTTCTGCTTGAAAGATGCTGGGAAAACATCCCAACCCAACCTATTCGACTGTGTTGATGCCAACTGAGAACTGGGCCTTTCCATCTTTCCAGCTTCGGAGCAATCTATGCTAGCCAAGTGGAAGTCTTTCGTCCTTACAGTCAACTGAGAACAGACCTGACCCAAAATACATACCATGGAATGTATCCGCACCTCGATGCTGTCCTTCAACGCGGAGCAGTTCCGCCATCCGTATGCCTTTTAAATCCTCTGAATATTTTCGCTGACCCACCACCACCGGAGGTTTCCTTTTAGCTTCTTAGAACTTGGGGATTCTTGAGGCCCACTCTTCCGCTTCGCAGTTGATCTGGTTACATCTAGAGGGACAGCCCTTTCGCTTCCTTGCCCTTCGACGTGGTTGCGTTAACCAAACTTTCACAATCTGCGATCTCAGCAATCTTAAGTACTTGCCTATGAGAATTAGAAGTCGTGTTAATCTAATATTGTTCAGCGCCTTTATAAGCCCTCACTAAGACTTTTTAAGCTCACTGCTTGAAATTGATAAGCGATAAAAACAATTGTTAAGATCTACAAATAAATCTGTAAATATATATAGTTATTGTATTTGTATAGGAACACTTATCAGAAATATATATTTCTTAACTACTGGGCAAACATAATAGCTCGAAGTACTTCCCATTGAACTGCATTACTTGCAAGATAAGCGCTGATAATCTAGTATGCCTCTGTACAGCGAAGAGTATGCTAAAGCGGCATAACACTTAGGTAACTGGAGTAACTCTTCAGTGTGAGCACAAAATCCTCCACTTGAAGACGGTAAATGTCGCATACGCCAAGCCACTGAAGAGGCCATGCACGTGCATAAGCTTTTCGATGGTTGACTTTCGAGGAGACCGCGCCAAGTGCCACTTTTCTGGCCGTTGGAGTGGTGACACAACGCTTGGAGCTGCCGGTTGTCGAATCGCATAGCGCTACATGCGCTCCACCCTATCCCAAACTTTTCAGCCGGGGATGTTGAGGTAGCCGGTGGTGACATCATGCCACTGGCCAACGACTGCGACTTAACTAATGCGCTCACATTTGCCGTTAAATAGCGAATGGCAAGCAAACAGACTATAAACGGCAGTTTACTTTGATTCAACGACGCACGCACCACACGTTCCACTGCCCCTCGTGTCCTCGAGTCTATTGCGCTGCACTCACTTTCCTTGCTCTCCACTGCTCCATTAGATTTAATATTCGCCTGCGCACCCTTGTTTGTCTTCCTCATTGTTGGAGTTAATTGAATTCCTTCCTAGCTCGTATGGCACAGCTGTTTTGATAGCCAACGCTCTATCACACACACACACTCACACGCGCATGCAATTAGCACATTTGTTGCAACAAATGCTGGACAAATAGGGCGCCCCGCATGGGTGCCTAGAATGATGGTACACATTGTTTATGGCACAGTTCGCACACTCGCGTGCAAATTTACGAGCGATTGCCGCATTAATCCTGCCACCAACAGGCCGGTCATGCTGCTGTGGCACTGCTGTGGCACTGCTGCCGAATCGGAGGCAACTCGGCGCGGCCAGAGCGTGCATGCCACAAACAAAGAAGCTGCTCAAACACATTTGCTGCGTAGCGCCGTGCAGGTGGTGCGCGGGATGTGGAACAAGTTGGATGTAAACATAATCTGTCGGCGTCTATGTCGCCGCCATTCAGGGGAGGATCGTTAAAGTGGCGTAAATTATACCATTACATCGGCAATGAATCAATGAACGTGGCGTTGACATCGCTGTGCGTCGCTGCGCAAACACAACATTAATTAAGCGACAACGCTGGCGGACAAATAACTGGAGTAAAATCAACAACTAGTCAAAGTGAATAATAACATATCACGTATCTATATTAGTATGTAAGTATGAGTGTATCATATACATATATCTGTATGGTGGGCAGTGGTGGAGCACAGCAGCAAGCTCGATAGCCCAGCACGACTTCTAGGCAAATAGAATCTGTGGAAATCTCTGCGCCCCATTTAGTATGCCGTTAGTAACACTTGTCATAAAATTGACTTACGAATAGTTGTTTACACTCGGAAATTGAGAACGCTACAGTGTACGCCCCGCATGCTTTTATGATGTTTAGACATGCTAATTTTCACTTCTGTCATAAAGGGGGTGACTGGGTTATTGCAAAATCGCTGATAATATTGATACTGAAATGTTGATTTCATGAGCTTTGAAAACGAGGAAAGCTTTAAGTTTCAAAAGATTTGAAAGCTCAAAAGCTTCGAAATCGACACAGCTTTAAGGGATGACCACAAGTGCTTTGAAAAAATGCTATCTCTACAAGCTTTAAACGCTTTAAAGATGATATCAAAGGCTTCGAAATCAATGTGAGCTTAAGTTTCAAATACGATTTTCGAAAGTTGCGAAGCTGGTGTTAGCTTAAAGCTTGCAAAAACTATAAAAAAGACGTCAGCTTTAAGCTAGCTAGAAAAGTATTTTATACTTATAGTTTGAAATGCATATTAAAGCTCAATTGCCTTCTATTTATAGTCTGATCAAATGTAGATGAGCGATGTTATTTGTTCCCAAATAAAAATCGGAAGGAACAAGGCGGCAGTTGATTGATTTTTGGACCTTCTCAAACTTATTAAAACTCCCGCTCATTCCCCTATTCTTTCAAACTCTTCACAAAAGGTAGTTAGCTCAAGCTCACTAGTTTAGCGTTTGGTTTGAAAAACCTTAAAAAATCTGAGAAGAAAGCTATATAATGCCAGAACTTTGGTCGTATCTTCCAAAATCCAAAGAATCCGGATTTCAACGATAGCGAGTTCTACATAAGTAGTAGTAAAAGTTTTTGTGCTGTCTTTCGATAATAGATCTTGAAGCTCGGGTGTAAAAGCGTTTATATTAGAGAAATATTTTCCTTGATTGAGGCACTATTTGAAGTGTTCACTGAGCTTAAACCGGGATTTTATAGCTTTTAGAGTAACTCACTCACATTTTTTATGTAAAAATTGTCATAAAATCGGTTGACTATATATATATTGAACTTTAGTTTAAAATGTATTTCTTCTTTGAACTCAAAAATATTGCAGTGGACCCAAGAAATTATTAAAAGCAGACGCTTTGCTTTCATTTATTGGCTCGGAGCATGGGAAATTGACTTTCGAAATCGATATCTGCCACTCACTTCAGCCATTTTGCGGTACGCCCCTTTCGATTTAATAGCCGATCACTTTAACGATGCGTTAAATGCGTATGCAAATGTTTGCGATAAGCGAAGTGACAGCAACAATAACACCCACACACGCACACATACATGCGCACATACAAAAATGATTGAGGAGCGGTGTCCATTAGGATATAGGCGACAATTATTCTCCGAAGAGAAACAATTGGAGTTTCAGTAGTGATGACACAGTCACTTAGGTAACGCACACATATGTATATGTACATTAGTCTGTGCATTAGACAGATATGCCTTACGGCAGCCCCACTGCTGCTGTTGTGGATGTGGCAAGTTGCTCCAGCAGCAGCGGAACAGCAGTGTTGAATATCATTTGAGCGATATGTCAATAAACATGTATGCACCAGTGTGCGTGTGTGTGTGTTTGTGTGAAAATGTGCCGCTTCGCCACTCATGCTTATCTAGTCAGAAGTACATATGAACACATGTAATGCCATTGAAATGAACAAGTGGTCCCAATAATTTCCTTATCACTTTAACTGCGCTCGGCTCTTAGCTTATCTCGTTTGCGCGAAGTGAGGGGGCGTCTACATGCAGTGGCTGTCAAGTGCATCTGGTGGCAAACGCAATGATTAAGACGACGCTCTGCACCAAACTACCCATCGTGTCGAGTGTGAATTTTCCAATTCCATTGATTCGAGAAGTTTTCATGAAGATCTGCAGACGCTTCCAATTGTAGTGTGGCTGTTGATTTCAAGTCTATTTATTGTCGTCGCAAATTAACTTGATTACCCAATGTTTGTACGAGTAGTAGCAATTCCGTTATCAGCTTTATTTAATAAGACACTTTCGAATTATGGGAGCAGCTCAACCCAACGGCACTTTCGCTTGAGAGGATTGCAGCAACTTTGACTTTTATTTCGTAGTACTTTGGAGTTTTCGTGTTGGAAAAAGAGGGAGAACTAACTCATGGGAATTAGACTAGAAGTTATGGTGATTTATTACGCCAAATTAAATTTTTAACAATTAAATGAAATTAATATGGAAACAATTCTTCAAATTTGACCGTATCAGCCGTAATGCTATGAACTATTTTTTTTTTGTTTTACTTTTTTCTGAACATTTGAATTTTTTTAGGTGACTTGTCAGTTCAGACTTTCTTCTTGATCTTACTTCATCTTACGTACTCCATAGTTCTATGTGTTCTATGTTCTAAGTTCGGTCAGCCAAGCATCCAAGAAAGGAGAATGTTAAAGGGCAGAGACAGATATCACCGCCACGATCCTGGAGAAGTGAGATCGTGGTAGGTAACCAATGAATTAGTTATTCGACTTTTCTTTAACAAACTCAAAAATAATAGATTCCCAACCGACCTTATAATGAAAGATCTCAACAAAAATTATTTAAGCAAAAGAAAAATATTGGCGGAATTTCAGACTGAAAAAGTATTCGGCAATCCATGGACCTGAATGATGCATTTTTAAGCAAACATAATAAAATAATATTGTATTGAAAAACAAAATGCATAGCACTAAACTATTCGCATAACATTTATATTTGGAAACACCTCCATGAAGTTCGTACACAAAAATCTAACATGAGTATAACTGTTAAAAGGTCGATGGTTCAAAAGTGGGTCGATAAGTGTCTCGCCGGGGCTGAATGCTGTACGTAGAGCGTGATTTTACAAGTTGGTTGGTAAAGTACTGTAGCGTGGTGCCATCATCTTCAAAATTGCTATGCAGTGACACCCAGCTGAGCTTAACATCACCACATATGTACACCGTATCCACCACTTCTGGTCGCATGTGATACCTGAATTCGAGCAGAAATTTGCCATTCAAATACACCTCGTAAGCATTGTCCATGCACACAATAGCCAGTCGAAAATATTTTCCCGGCAGAAATTCCGTATCTATATCCGAGCATTCCTCTGGTGACCATTGGCCATCGTACCAAGCGCAGCGCACAATTTGCGCTTTCGATATGTTTTCGCGTTTTTTGAAAAAGCACGAAGCCAAATGGAAGGCGATGATCGGATGTGGCCAAAAATAAACGCCATTTTGTAAGTTTATATAAAAGGACATTGGTAATAGTTTGACACGTCCCTCGATCTTGAGTAGACGACCCGGCTTCATCATATTCCGCGGTAAACTGCCCACGTAGGGTGCCGCAATTTCAGCCTGCCAATGCAAGGCTTTCAATACCAAGCTGAAACGCCAACCTGCATCTCTCCTGGTCAGCTGAGCATATCCAGATCTAGACGAACGGGTTGAGGCGAGGTTTCTACTGACTGTTATTTCCACAGGTCGTATTGTATCGATGCGATCGGGATATGTGGCGACCTCTGTATGCGTCACTAGGACATCTGTGACCTCACCTATCACCACCACCGAGCTAATCAAGCGATAAGGTATGCAATGTACGTAGGTGGTGAAATGAAAACCGTTCACGGCTATGAGAAAGGCGGTTTCGGTGATGAGAAACTGCATGAGGAATTTGGTGCCACGTCGCAGTGTGAACGGTATGGCGGAGGTGTTCTGCTCAACTTGCCACCGCTTGTTGACCCGACTGTTGCGCACGATGTAATTCTGCGGTAGACGCGCATTAAGGTGTAACGCCACGTCGCCCGCAGCATTATCCACCAGAAAATTGATGAAGAAGCTGTGCGGGTTAAAGATATTATTACGCTTTTCGCACAATGAAATAGAACTGTTTCGACACCTACCGTTCACAAGTTAACAGTATTTGACCGGTAACTCTAAAGCAAACACCCTCTTTGAGTAAGCCAAGCTCATGCGTGCGGTGCACCGGCTCGAAATCGTCTATAACATAATCGAATTCGTTCTACTAAGATTAAAAGATTTTCAATTATTTTATAAGAGAAAATGAAAATATTTTACTTCAAGAATTGAACGTTTCGTAGAAGTGTAAGTATTTCCCATTGTATCCACAACTGACAGATGAGCGATGAGAGAGTCGATAGAACTTCCATTGGCATTGCAAAATGTTAAGTTTCACAAAAGTCATTTAAAATCGATTTTTATTATTAAATAAATTAATATCATAAAATATTGACATTTGAAGATTCGTTTTGAATATTCCTAACAATTACTTGAATGCCAAACAAGTGAACTTGAAACCAATTTTAATATGCAATATCTTAAGCGTGAATAACAACAACAGTTTTCAAAGCCTTCGACAGACTTTGACGGCAACAGTTTTCCAAGCTTGCGAGAGACCTTGTTGCGAAAAAAGAGGACCCGTCGAAAAAACCAGCGACAATTCTGATAAGTTGACTAATACCTCCACAGGTCGATCCAAATAGAAGCAATGAGATGTTTCCACTTTATCATCTTTAAGAAACCTTCAGCAGTAAAGATCAAGCAAAGCGACGTGTACTACTAAAAGTAAGAACATTCTTAGGCCGATTCACCTCAGACCTTCAGGAAATTGTGATCGCACAAGTGACTGGCACTCACTTAAATACCAAAAATATTTCAATATCTTTGAAGCAGAAGTCACACAATCTTTAACCAGCAGTCCTCAATGAAAGTGGATAAAGAATCCGATCCCGTTCCGGTTACTTAGATCCTACTGTCGTGGGAACGGAATCAATTTTTTCTTCTTCTTTACTGGCGTAGACACCGCGTTTCTTCTCTTGGATATTTGGCGCTTATTCGAGATACGAAGCCCAGCGTGGTCGTCTTCACCTGATCTCTCCAAAGATGAAGTGGAGTGAAGTAGTCATCCTCTTCCTCTGCTTTCAGCGGTGAGTACTGAATCGAAAACCTTCAAAGCTCAACATGACCTAACCGGCGCAGTTGCTATCTCTTGATTCACTGAACTGTGTCTATATCGGCGTTTCATCGACCGCAAAGGACCATATATCTATCGCAAAAGCTTTCTCTCGAACACTCCTGAAGCCGAGATGATTACAGACTTGTAGATTTTAGTTTTTGTACGAGGAGAGAGAACTTTCTTTTTCAATTGTCTACTCAGTCCAAAGTAGCAACTGTTAGCAAAGGTGATTGATGTGTTGAGAATCAGTTTAAGTTCATATAAAATATTTATCTAAATATAAAAAAATATAAAATTAAATATAAAACGTAAATTTTTTGAAAAAAAATGGTCTGAGTTCTCAAAATAAAATAAAACTGTTTTCGTAGGTAGCCAATTTTCCTAGAGGCCCAACACATTTCTTTGCTTGTGCGCTGCTAGCTCGAATGTGATTGAACGGAGTAAAGGCAACTCTAAAGTATTTATGTTTTCACTTAGCATAGGCGCAAACCATTACATATTTGGGTTCCAATTTATACTTAGCAGATTTACCAACCATTACATTTTTCTCAGTTTTTACACTCTGTTGCCATTTCCGTTATTTTCATAAATTGTGTGTTATAAAACGTCTGATTATTTTATATGAAATAAAAGTTAATGGTACACTGGACGCCATAAGTATGTATACAAAAAAAATTATGAAATCTGGAATGTATTAAAAACCATATTCTTCCCTTTTGAATCGTTTCATAATATATTTTTGTTTATTTTCCTCATTTAAAGCATTAAACTGTGCAACAAGTTTTCAAAAATAAAAAATAAACATTAACTTTAATAATATTCCATATTTCAGTGCATCTCAAGCAAATGCAGTTTATTTATTAGTACATAGGTATATTATATAAATTGGTATATAGCATAATTATTGAAGACTAACAATTAGAAATACAACAGATATATATGTATATGGAGTATATAAAGTTTTCAATCGGTTTTTAATTTTTAAAATTTCTGCTTTTTTCTTATTTTAGATTTCAATTAGAGTAAATCATCACAAATCCATTAAGGTAACTTTAATTAGGAGCACGAAATTTCAAAAATACACTATAGAATTTGAATACATACATATGTACTTCGCCTTCGTTGACTGGCCATTCGACTAATACATTGACTAAGTTAATTATTGTCATGGAAAATTAATTTTGACGTGAGTTAGATTTGAGAATATTTTAGAAAAATATTGGTAACGTCTTTTATTCAAGATTTGCTTACATTTTAAGGACAAAACAGTAACTTTAAACACGAAAATGCTTGGAAAAAACTTGCAAAAATTTGTGTCTTAAGCAAGTTTTATTATTTTATACAATATATTATATACTAATCTTTGATCTAGGTTAGGTGTTTCGGGTAGGCTGTTAACTAAACTACTAAACAATGGTAAAAAGAACTTTACAGCGACGATATACAAATATACAATTGAAAAACCAAAAAATAAACTTAAATATTAAAAAATCTATTCGCACAGCCATATTAAATATGGCTTCTTCGGTTCTGATCCGACGAAAAAAGCTCTACAACTTTTCCATTTTGATACTCAAGGACTATGAGTCACCGCATACCGCACGGCGTTGCGGAATTCAGAGGTCTCGTTTTTTTCGTATGTGTATGCGAACTCAACCACAACAAACTCAGTCACTTTCACTTTAGTACCCTCCTTTCTCAATCTTCCGTCCATCACTAATATCTGAACAGTGGATTTGTGTAAATGCGTCTCGTGCCCTTCGGCGACAAGTTGGTGAGCAGCACAACACTGCGCAATTTAATATCACCCTGTATGTACACCGTATCTACCACATCCGGCTTGATGCGATACCTGAAGTCGGTGATGAGCTTCTCATTCAAGTACACCTCGAATGCATTCTCCGCGCACACGATTGCCAAACGGAAGGTTTTGCCCGGCCGAAAGTCTGTGTCCAATTCGGAGCGTTCCTCATCCGCCCAAGCGCCATTGTACCAAGCATTTCGACACACAATCGCCTTGCCTATGGCGCCGCTCTGTTTCGAGAAGCGCGGATTAAAGTGAAATGCGATAATCGGATGTGGCCAATAGTGTTGGCCCTTCTGTAGGTTGATGTAGAACGATTGCGGCAGCAATTTCACACGCCCCACTATCTGCAGACAACGGCCCACTTTCAGCGAGTCAGCCGGCAGCAGACCATAGTAAGGCAGTGGTATGCCACAAGCGATATTTTTCATTAAGGCAATCGAACTCTTTATGCCCAGCGGTGCCCAATCCAGATTCGAGCTGTCCACCTCGTCGTACGGCATAAGCGCCGTCTTATCGCCATTCGGCTGTTCATCGAAAATGTCCAGCGCTGTGCGTATCTCTTTGGGGTTGAAGCCGGGTATGTGCTCCGGATAGCATTGTACCTCGGCGCGCTCCATGCTCACGTCCTCTACGTCGCCCTTCACCTCTATCGTCGAGACTGTTGTGTAGGGCAAGCGATGCGCATACTTGGCGAAGTGTACGCCATTCACCGAAATCAGATAATCGCTATCGGTGATGAAGATCTGGATGGCGAATTTACTGCCGCGATGCAGTGAGAATGGCAGTGCTGATGAGACCTCTTCCTTGCCCCAGACGCCTTTCACTTTCGTGTTGCGCACGATGTAGTTTTGCGGCAGTCGTGGATTGATGTGCAGCGCGACGTCACGTGTGGCGTTCTCAATGACGAAATTTATGGAAAATCTGAAATGGCATAGGTGTGTTTGAATGTAAGTTGTCTGACTGGTGCTAGAGCTTGTGGTGAGTACTTACCGCTCGCAGTTGAGCAAAATGCTGCCGGTCACTGTGAAGCTGATGCCCTCCTTGAGGGTGCCGATCTTTTCGTTCTGGTACACGGGCAACGGTTCCACATAGTCGTAAAAGGAGCTCTGTAATTGCAAACAAATTAAATATTTGAATTAGCTGTTAAGAAGTGCTAAAGACTTTAGTTAAGTATAACTAATATGTTTTAAACGTAAGATTCAATTGTCAACGTGCTTTTCGATAGTTTAGAATCAGACGAAACATAACGGTGAGCAGTAGTAAAACAACAAATTGTTTAGTTTTTAAGTTGAAGGAAATTATTTTATTTTATTTTGTTTGACATTCGCCAAAAAATTTATATTAATTTATGTATTTTACATGGGAAACCGAGAGCTTCTGAGTACAGAGTACTGAAGTTGAATATTTTTTATATTGCATTAGGTTGAGTTAGATTAGGTTAATCTGGTAGACCATTAAGCCACGCATAGACGAGTTTTGGCTTTTTGCGATGCCAATTAGAGTTCAGTTGCAAGGTCCATTAGTAGTAGTCATCCTTTAAGACGCGAATATTGACAGACTCTGCGGCTTCACTATCGATACCTCCTTCAGTATGTCATACTGTGGGAACCACAGAAGCTTCTCTTCTCGAGATGTCAGTCCCATTCTGCGGACATGGGTTTTGATGTAATGCATTAGATATCAAACGTTTTCATGAGACGTGATTTTAACTCCAGGTTCCAGACAACTAATAAAACCAATGCTTTTCTCTGGACAGACGAACACTTCTGCAGCCTGCTGAATGGCAATGAAAGTATAACGGCAAGAGAAGACGAACCCGATTCCCCAATCGATGATGATGGAGCAGACGTTCCATTGCCCGACCATGAAGAAGTTCGATCAGACCTGAAGAACAACAAAGCGGCGGGGGCCGATTAATTGCCAGCCGAACTATTCGGGGAAGAACTGATAAGGAGCATGTTTCGTAGAATGTGGTCGGACGAAAACATGCCCAACGATTGGACTTTAAGTGTGTTTTGCCAATCTACCAAAGGAGAGACCCCAAAATCTGCGCCAACTACCATGGGATACGCCTCCTCAAAATCGCATATATAGTTTTATCGAGCGTATTTTGTGAGAGACTAAATCAAACCGTCAACAGACTGATTGGACCTTATCAGTGTAGCTTTAGGCTCAGCCTCGAAAGAAGTGCTCTATCAAACTTTATGAGTCACTCATTATTCCCGTCTTGGATGATGACAACATTTTTTCGAGAAAAAGGTCATGCGAAAGATTTATGGTCCATGGCGCATTTTAAACGGCGGACGATGAGCTGTAAGAGATACACGACGACATTAATATAATTCAGCGAATTAAGAGACAGCGCTACGCTGGCTAGGTCATGTCGTACGTATGGACGAAAAAACTCCAGCTTTGGAAGTACTCGACGCAATACCCGCCGGGGGAAGCAGAGGAAGACCTCCACTCTGTTGGAGGACCAGGTTTAGAATGACCTGGCTTGGAATCTCCAATTGATGCCACGTAGCAAAAAGGTGAAACGACTGGCGCGCTGTTGTTAACTCGGCTACGCCAGTAAAGAAGAAGAACAAGAAACATTTCAGTATTTTTTAATTATTAAATAAATATTATTCGACTACGTGAATAATGAGCGAAGTCAAAAGCATTTCATCAGCGTACAAAAATTTCGGTCTGACCCCGTGGACATCTAATTTGGTGTGTCAATTACTGCGTGTTATGTGTGTAACATATACATACATACATACATGTGTGCAAATGTACAACTTTTTTAAAATAAATATTCACACCACAGAATGGCATACCTTTATTTGGCCGTACGTATATACATGCATATGTATATAAACGGCTAAATGTGATCGTAAAAGCAGCAACAGTCATTTAATAAAGCATCTGCGGGCATCCCATGTATAAATATTTGTTTTAGGAAGTTTTACGCACTCGCTAATGTTAACTAATTGAAGCGCAAAAACAAAGTACAAAAAAAGATATGTGTACCGTATGTATATACATATGTATATGTGTCTTTATATGAATGTAGGTATGTATATAAGTTGAAAAGGGCAGTGGAAATGCCAAATGATTATTACATATACATATACATACTTGTGGAATTCTCTAATAGCTCAGGTGTTGATTAGAAATGTGTTCATTCAAACATAAGTCAATACACATATTTGTAAATATACACAAACATACACAATTATTTTAAAAATAACATTATTTAATTAATGGTTTTTTATCGTCATTGAAATACTGGCGAGAAAATGCTTGAAAGCTTTTGGGTGTGGTAAAAATGCGATTACAAAAGTACTGCGTTTTGATGAAAAGGCTCATTATCATATCATATACATACATACATACATATGCAGGCATGTATAGAAATACACTTATCGATGCACATACATACATATATGCATGCATGTTCGTGTGATTGGCATACCAATTTTTGATTTTGTCAATCAAATTATATTCACAAGACTTATACGGAAGCATTATTGATACATATGTACATATGTATTTATATTGTTAATTTGCATATATTACTTTACTATACAGGGTGCTTATACATTTGTCGTGTCTATGTCCCGCACTAGCCATAATCAAAAATTTAATTTTTATTATTTTTTTTAAATTCAAAAC